ACTTCAGTGGCATTACTTCTGATTTACTGCTGAAAGTGAGCGGAAAGATCCGGCCTTGTGGATGCTTTGCTCGGACATCAATGAGAACAGAAACAGGTTCCAGGTGTACAGTCTGATGCACCATAAATGGGGAGAGGGAAATTTTTGACTAAGGGCATAGGTACAAACCCGCCTACTCATAAAAACTGCCAGGAAATCTTTAAACTCCAGAGACAACAGACAGGGCTACAGTTTTTAAGATTGCATTCCAAAGACACAGGAATGAAATCCATCCTTGGGAAGAGCTAGGGCTGAGTAAAACCTGCCAGGTTTAGGCATTTGAAACCTGCCTTCTCCTCCCTTTCTAGTTTATTGTTACTTTTTGCAGGCTGTACTGCTTGAAAAGTGACCATTCCTGTAGCAGGTATCTTCCAAATGACCTAGTGAATGGACACATGAAGTCTCTTGCCAGGTACAAAATGGATGTGCAGGTTGCTCAGGTAGTGATGTTGCAATGCATTAGAACTAGTGTCAGGTTAGAGAACAAGTTAGTAGCTCTAAAGATCAGTATAGAACAGAGGTAGGCAACCTATGGCATGCGTGCCAAAGGCGGCAGGCGAGCTGATTTTCAGCAGCACTCACACTGCCCGGGCCCTGGACACCGGTCCGGGGGGGCTCTGCATTTTAATTTAATTTTAAATGAAGCTTCTTAAACATTTTGAAAACTTTGTTTACTTTACATCCAACAATAGTTTAGTTGTATATTATGGACTTACAGAAAGAGACCTTCTAAAAACGTGAACATGTATTACTGGCACGCAAAACCTTAAATTAGAGTGGATAAATGAAGACTTGGCACACCACTTCTGAAAGGTTGCCGACCCCTGATATAGAATATGTACAAGGGGTCATTCACCAAAGCAGAAGGCAGTATACTCTAATCTAGGCTGTACTTGCAAGAGGGCATCAGTATAGCTGCTTGACCTGTGTGGTCCAAGGCAATATAAATCTATAATACCTGGGCCATATGTATATGGGGATGTCCTATGTCAGACAGCCTTGCCTGAAGTCTTACAGGGAGTCAGAAATGGGGTCATGCAAACAAGCTAATAACCTGCCTGAGTAGATACTCATAAAGCACTGCATCCTGCAGGCAGTGTCTGCCTCATCCTTCCTCGGAATCCAGGCTCTCACAAATGCTGTCTGAAAAACGTTACATTTCCTTCTGCTGGAGCATAATGGGACAGATTCCAATGTCAGTTATACAGGAGTAAATCTAGAGTAGTTGATTTGATTTCAATGGAGTTAATGCAGATTTACACAGGTGTAAGTGAGAACAGAATTTAGTCCAATATACTGACAGCCTGTCACTTGTCAGAAGTGACCCAGAGAGAGTAAGGATGCTGAAAGGAGGAAGAGAAGTCAGAATTTTAAAAGATCACCCCAAAAGGTGTCTAGTAAAAAAAAAATCAGACTGAAACCTTTCAATTTAGCATTTTGCAATCTTTTTTCCTCATGCCTGGACACCTGCAGTTCCTAACTAGAGTCTCAATTTCACTTCAGCAACTCCCGCTAAAAACAAAGCAGGCAAAATGGATATCTAGCCTCAGGAGCTCAGCCACCACAGTGAGGAGTGTGTCAGTAGTAACTAGATAGTTCCAGGGTCCTAGTCTCCTTGCAGCCTCACCTCATGGTTGGCAAAAGCTCTGACTTCTCACCCACTTTGTTCTTTGCCTTGTTTATACATAATTTATATGGACACTTTGCCTCCGCAAAAATGTGGTACCTGGGGGAGAGTTTAAAAATATTAATGCAGCAATAGTCTCTCTAGGAACTTAGGTCTCATGCTGGTACAAGCAAGTCTAGGAAGTTATATGACTGTGGTTCCCTGCTGGAAGGTCCAACGTTCGGAGTGTGACCTCACAAATATCCTGAAACTTCTATGCCATACGAATTGGGGATGGTGTGGAATTCCCTGGGGAAACAAGTCTTGGACTTGACTCACCTCTGCCTTGCACCTTGCACAGTTAAACGTGCACAGTGATAGCATTTGGCACCACCCGCATTCACTGTGCACAGGTGTAAGTGACTACAGCATGGACTACAGCAGTGGAGAAACAGGTCTCCTAACTCCCCAGGAGGCTCAATCTCTCCACAGAGCTCTCAGTCAGCATGTACCCCACACTACTCAACACTGGAACACGAGCAGCAAAACCTCACAATAGCGTTTCCATCTGTCTTCGACGGCATCAGACTTCGAGACTTGGGGGACCCCTGCAGCTGCAGCATCTGAACCATCCCGGTCAAGTTCTACAGTGTAGCCACTTGTTTTCTTCTTCAGACAATGGGTAGGGAATGTTGACAAATTAACAAGTGTTTTCAGCTTGCATGTGAATTTTAGAAGGAGCAAATCACGGGGGGAAATAAAGGTCCTATGAACGCACCAGAAACATTTTAACCCTTACATTACAGATCCGCTGTGCTCTTTTTGTACGGTTGACCCTATAATCACATTAGGACCAAGCAGTAACAGCATCATGTGAAGTATTATGCAATTATAATGTCTGATGTCACTGGAGCTGTGCTCGTTTATCAGATCCAGATTCTACTGAGGATCTAGCCCACTGTCAGATTATGTGGAATTAAATTACCTTTGGATATAGTAGTAGTGAGCTATAGAAATGAGGGATTCTTAATTAAATTGTATTCATCAAGTAAATCCAGTGTCTGGGCTGGATTCTCCTCTCACTCACACTGGTGTGAATTGAATGAATGGAGTTACACCAGTGTAAAACTCATGTCAGTGAGAGGAGAATTAGGCCCTATATTATTAAAATAGAAATAGAGAGTATCTAGGTCTAATTCTGAAAAAGACTATTGATGAACATAAATACAAATAATGACCACAAGATACATTCAGTTGTATTCACACTCTTGCAAGTCATTTTCTGCAAACATACCATAGCAGCGAATAGCTATTTGGAAGATTACTTGTGGAATGTGAAAGACTCATGAAAATGTCAGTATATTGCCCTTTTGAAATACAGTATCTTTGATAGACCATTTAGAGCCAAAGTTAGTCACCAAGGCACTTTTGAAAATCCCACTATGCACCTATCTGCAACTTTAGGCACCTAAATACATTTAAAAATCTGGTCCTTACCGTTTATAAACGCTTCAGCCATCCAATCACGGAAACAGAAATAATTCCATGTCATTTAAGTGATAAATCACACATCATAAGTAATGAACAACATTCATTAGTGCAAGACATTATTTGCAAAATATCTGCTTCGACAACTTCTAGGTTGAAATATGTTCACATAAAGTGTGTGAACAATTTCAAATAACAAATAAATTTTAAAAACTGATAGTCTGTAGATAATTCATGAAGAGAAAAAGGCTAAATTTAATCAAATAAATTCATTATAATGTTTGCTCAGTTCTTCTTCAAATATTCTCAGTACATACTCCCAGAACTGCAAGGAATATCTTATGTTCTAATTTTGAAGCAAATTTTCTGTTCCCCATTTTTTCTCTATTTATCACCTACTGTACCAGAATTTCACAATATCCCACACATTTATCTATTCAAGGTTTTTGCAAAGATACTCGGCAGTCTGGCAGAGACAGTATTGATTTAGGAACTAGCAGTTGTGACAATTCAGTCACAGATTGGAGCTGGCTCGGTATGTGGGCTTGTCTGTCATGAGCAGAATTCTGATCCAAGCTGGTCTCATGTTTAAAAAAACAACAACAAAGAGCTACTTTTATCTGTTATGCTCTGAAGGGAAAAGGATTACAGAGGCTGAATAAGCCATCTGAGTACTTAGCTAGCAATCCTAAATAGCACCCTGATAGGAAGTACAGGCAGAGAGCTAATTAAATTAGCCCTCTTTGATTTATTAACAAGCAGAGCAACAGATCACACAGAATTCTCCCACAAAATGAATAAGCATTTTGAGCCACACGTTTGCTATGGAACTTCCACCCCAGTAAAGCCCTGTCATGGGACTCAAGTTTCACAAGTCTTGATGGTTTAGGGCAATGTCCCTTACTCACCAAAGCAGAGATATATTAGTAATAATATAGCAAAGCATATTATTTTGCATGCATGATCTTAATCCCATTTTTAATGTCTAGGACAATCTAGTGGTTAATTAGCAATTTGCTGCCCACCTCTATGCAAATGAATGACAAGTAAAAGCCTTCTGCATCTGTCATTATTCCATTGATTTACAAGCCACTTTTCCTTCAGTGTTAGTTTCTCTGTGTGGGTGCATTCATGCATCATGTATTTCATTATTTTTAGAAGCATGCTCTGTGCATTTTTGTGCTCTCCTAGTTCCAGCATCCAGCAATTACTACTTTTTGGATACCATGGACCTGATCCTCAGCTAGTGTAAATCAGAATAGCTCCACTGACTTTAATGGAACAATGCCAATTTACGCCAGCTGAAGAGCTGGTCTTTTCTTGTTAAGAAAGCTGTATTAGGGCACTTGGAATTTCTTTGCTGAAAAATAATTGAGAATAAGAAAACATCAGAGTGCTATAAATCCTAATTGCAGCTTGCAAACACACATACACACACATATAGATTTATTTATATATACAGATCTGCTTCTGCTTAATCCCTAGAAGAAATTGTAATACTCTCCTAGTATTTGATTTTTCTCCCGAGCTGCTTTTGTAAGTAAAACAGAGTATACTTAATCCATTTGGCTACTTTCTCACAGTTTTACTGGTGGGTTTTTTTTAATGTTTTATATTTAGCCTTGGTATTAGAGAGCTCTTATGTTAAATTAAGTCAATTAATAAATGGAGACATTAAACAATCAATTTTGTCTGCATATCTCCACAGCATTATGTATGGCTGGCTGTAATCACAAGATAAATGCAATGTGCTGATGTATGGTAATGTTCAATAATGCATTCTCCACCAGGCTCAATTCATCAGGGAGTTTTTGTAGGGGGGTGCAGCATTTGTTATTGGCTGTCTCTGGACCTCAAGGATAACATTCCGGTCCTTTTGATTGGCTGACCCACTGCTGCAAGATTCTAACCGTCTTATTTTGACGATGAATATGAAGGCACACTAAGCTATGCAGGAGTGTAGTTCTCACAGGCTGCACTCCTTCCCCAGTCTCAAGGACTGACAGTCTCCTTCATTGCTTTCCTCACCAAACAACAACAACAAAAGTTGTGATGCTTTTCTTCACCCAGTGCTTTGGGGCTGTATTAGATCTTATTCACCTTAGGTTTCAACATTACAAGGCTAAGAGGGTTTTTTCAGCGGCTGGGCAACTTGTCTGTGTTGTAAACCCAACACACAGCCTAAAGGTGAGTTAAAAATATGTTTCTATTCCAGTGTTTTTTGCTACTCATTTGTTTCTCCATAGGGAGTGAAATGATGTTCTAGCACAATAGGCAGATTGTTGTGAACACATTACTAGCAAAGAGACTGTTTCATATGGTCTTTCTGTTTGGTTTACTTTAGAGCTAAAGGCAAGCAATCAGTGGCTACAGGGAATACTGTGAAGTTGGTGCTTCTCCCGCTAGTAGCCCATCCCTCCTCCCCCTTCGTCTGTGTATCAAATATTCAAGAGGCAAATGTTTGGAAAAAATTATTGGAAAAGTTAGTTTATTGAAAATGTGTTTCCTTTTGTGAAACATTGCGAACACAGATCCTGGAAATCCTTCCGAACTGTCTGATACCAAAGGGTAAAGTGCTGCTGACTAGCAAGCTGGAGAGGGGGAGAGAAAGGTTTTCTTTGAGTGTTTGTCTGTTTCTTCTAAAGGGAATTTGAACAATTTCAACTGGCATATAAAGTGCCCCTAGTCGTTTGCAAGGTGAACATATTTTAGTCATGAGTTTAAATTAGCCTTAATAAAGCAAAACCATTTATAGTCCCCATACAATAACCCTCTTGCTATATGCTCTTAGTAAGTTTCTAGATTTCCATTGACATAGCTGAGCCTATGCCCAAACCCAATGATTGTGATCTCATCTAGAGAGGAACCAAGCAACTAGTGAGGCAAACAGACTACTGGGAGTCTTTAATGGGTTTATTATGGTAACAAATTAGCAGTTTTATCAATGCCCATCTTGGCTTGCTGGAGGTCCTCACTGACCTCTCTTGAACAGAAAGTCCTGTCCTGCCATTCACTAGCCTCATCTAAAACCACAGATGGATTCTTTAGGCAGACTCTTCTTTGGCTGTCCCAAAGTCCTTGTCAGGACCTCAAAGGGAACCTCTTCCCAGCATAGGGTGTTAAGGGATCCTTTGAGAGAACAGGTCTCGCCTCAGAACTCGGGGCCAATGGCAGGTAGGCACCTAAATGTCTTTAAAATGCCATTGGTTATTGCCACCACAATCTTGTTTTTCATTATTCCAGAAAGTAGCTCTCACAAAATGCAGGCTGCTAGGAATGCTATTTACAGTATCGGACAACACTAACTTGGGGAGTCACACTGTTGAGATGAGGTCATTTCTAGAAGTACAGCCACTCCTGGAGGGTATGTTTCTAAGCATGCTAAGAGCACGTTGGGAGCCCCCAGCAGTGTGGATGAGGTAGGGCAGGCATTGCAGGGCTGCAAAGGGAACATATAGAGACTAGCTCACTTCTCGTCTCATCTCTTCCAAAGTGGTTCCCTCCCTCCCCCACCAATACAACCTATTTAAAAAACCTGTTATCTTAAGGTATAATGTGTCTGTTCAGAATAGGTAGGAACTATGTAGAAAGAAATATACAGACTCTGTATGTGGAGGGAAGATATTTTAACAAAATGGATAATTCTATTTTAACCCCTTTGATAGGAGACCATCAAATCATTCTGCTTAAAACAACAACAACAAGCAGGAAACGAGTGTCCTAGGTTATTGCCAGTTGAGATACAGTGGAGCCGAGACAGGTGCCAGTCCAGCCGGATGTAGAGTGCCCATGGAAGGCAGTGGAAGTTTAGGGTGCTCAGCACTTCGGCAGATTGGGCTTGCAGTTAATCAGAGCATTCTTAATTTCTCTCAGGTTGGAGCTGCAGTCTGTACATTCCAATGCTTTGAAACAATTTGGTGCTTCTCTTCTTTATCCCCAGAAATAAATAGTGTCTCACTATCTGAGTTCATAATGGCTGAGCCCTTCAGGGGCCTGATCCAGAGCCCACTGCCGTCAGGAGTCTTTCCATTGACTTCACTGGGCTTTGCCTCAGGCATTACATGCAGAAGTCCCACTGAAGCAAATGGGAGTTTCAAATGTGGTGGAATGGCAGGATTGAACCCATAACAAAAACGCCTCTTTCCTTCAATGGGAGTGGCTCATGCGGTGGGTTTGCAGGATCAGGTCCAGCGAGCATGTTTCACTGCATACGTTATAACACTAGGGGACATGAGTGTGGTGAAGAAATCATTTCAATATGAAAAAAAACAATGACTTCTAAAGTGACGTGTGCTGCAAAGTTATTAATGTATAAATGATCTATTACTTGAAACTTGTCATAGAACACTATAATAGTGAAATAGTTTCAAAGATTTCTATATTTGGTCATTAGAAAAATGATAACTGTTATTTAACTGTCATAGCATTAGCATCTAAAGACTACAAACAGGTTGGGCCTCATAGTGCTAGGCACTGTACAAATATGTAATAAATTACATACATTATGAACTTTAGAAATAAAATACAAGTGATGTATTACTTTAAAATAAAAAGGCAAATATACTCCTCAGGTGACTTATAGTATTATGACAAACTTTGATGTCCCATATTTTACTATCCATGATTTGGTCATTTTAACCATAATTTTTTTATTTATTTATTTATTTTTGGACAATCCTAAAATGTAAAACAAGTAAAAACAGCGATTAACTCTCCAAGATGTAACAAATCTGACCGAGAACAAGGGCCATGAGCGCAAGTACTTTCCTCACCCAAAATGATGAGCATTTGTACTCACACTAAAATTATCATCTCTTTGGGCAGGGATTGCTCTTACGGTAGCAACCAGATCTGTGCTACGCCTAGCACAATGGAGCACTGATGTGATTGCTACTGTATTACGAATAATAAATGAAAGGCTTTTCGCATTTCTTTATATGATCAATTATCTTGACACACCCCTTATGGGCAGATCTTCAATTGGTGTACACTGGCATAGCTCCACTGAAGTCAGTTTGCACCAGGGCCCTCATCCTGCACCATTAAAGTCAATGGGGGCTTTCAATGCATGTAGGATCAAGCCCAATCTGAGGCTCTGTGGTTACACATCATGTACATTTTACATGATTACGTGATCCTGTATTTACCAAGATGTTTACTGACCAGTGCAATGCAGGGAAATGCTAATATTCTGCAGCGCAAGATTGTGCGAAGTTCCAGTCTTCCTAACACTGTGGTAAATCCAGAGGAATTCCAGTGCTCCAGATTCATTCCAGTGTACTGTAACTGCGATCAGAATTCAGCCCCATGACTGTAAAGAGAGTGCCACTTTACCAATTCCTTTAGTGCTGGTCTGTATGTTGGCAGTAAAATACACACTTACAACATGTATTCTTCCTCAGGCAGAAAAGACTTAACTAGGGTGGCTTATGCTCCATTTAGTGGTATTTAAAAAAAAAGTTAAAATATCAATGCAGATAGCTGTATTGATCTGCTGTTGTTTTCTCTTCGTATGACAGACTAACACAGGCAGCTGTAAACAAGGACAGACAAGATTACAACCATTGCCCTCAATTTTCTTTATTTGATGTGGGTATAAATAGGTTTTTTGAAGCCTATTTCTCTTTCTTGCAGCTTTTTGTACTTTCTCCTTTCATGAGCTTTCACAAGAATGCCACAAGCATCTTAAAACCAGAGGCATGTGCTGAGCTGTAATCAAAATTCACTTGCTGAGCAGAGAAAATCATGTATTTACTATGCTTCTATAGGTCACCTTCATTCTCAATCATATTATATCCATTACTTAGCAACCTGGGATTCCTTCAAGCATACAGACAATGTGATGCCTCCCTTTTGAAATAAAAGGCAAAAGCATTATTATGTAGCTAGACACTAGCTAAATGGTTACGCTCTTTAAGACCAAGATAATTAAAGGGGGTTGCTTAAAGAAGCAATGCTCATTTCGCCTGGATAAAGGCCATTTAGCTTACTGTGAAAGTTTTAAGTACTTTCTCTGCGTGGAAAGAACAGGAATGTACACTGGTTCATGTGTAAAGAAGGGTCAGTGTGTTTCTTTTCTTTTCTTTTTCCCATTAATGATAACTCCACTGTACAGGTTCCTCTTCCTTCCAGATCCTGCTAATCTGACCACAAGAGAGGTGGTGAAGCTATCAGCTCTTTCATGTCCTATATTTCAGTTCCCAAACAGAACATAGGAAGGCAGGAAATTACGGGGATGGCAGAAGATCAGTGAACTCAAAAGTCTCTGCTTCTTTCCTTTTGCTGCAGCAGTTCAACCTTACAATGGAGTATGTCCTCCTTAATTATTATTATTAATATTATAATAATAATAATAATAATAACAATAACAGTAACAATAATATAATATTTTTATTAATGTTGTGCCTACGGGCCCTAATCAAGATTGAGGCTGTTTTGCGCTAGACACTGTACACACACATAATAAAAAGCCCCCAAAAGTTTACAATTTATGCCCTGGTGACTTTATGTAACTCTATCCACAAGTACTCCTTTTCTTTTTGCGAATACAGACTAACACGGCTGTTACGCTGAAATCTATCTTGTTGTGATTAATGCCACCTTCCTTTGTTTATTACATACGGTCATTCTTTTCTCGAATGTGTTGTGCTTATAAGACCATCCTTCCTCCTTTCTATAGGACCTTTAGGCTCTCATGACATTATCATAACGGACGATATTTAAAGAGGTGACTAAGCACTGCTTAATCTTGTAGCCGCTCAGAGTATTGCATGGCTCACAGGGCCAAACTGTTATAACCAGATCTTTAAAAAACCCAAACAAATCTGCTTTAACTGAAGGAGAGAAGGGTTTTTAATCCTGTTATAATACTTTGTCTCCACGCACACTGGTCAGCCAGGCTGCGTTGTAATCCACTTTATCCCCAACAGACTTTGAACCAGGATTAAGTGCCGTGGTGTATTGTACACACACGTGGGATTTAATTATTTATTTAGTGTAAGGAAAGAGAGAGACAGCTTGAAATGTGCTGCTAACAACCCACTCTGCTATACTTTCCCACTCTCCCCAGCCAGAAGCCCTTCCTTTCTGGTTCAGGATTCTGACTAGTTTAGTTCATCAGGCAATTTCCCATATTTAAGTAGTATTTTGTAACAATAACCACTAGAGGGCATTCAGAATACAATATA